TATATGTCTTTTACGCTGCTTGACTGCTTCCAATAGCGGGGTCTTTAGGGGGTTGAGAACCGGAGGGTAGTCGCTAGCCAAGTGAATCTAGCTGGCTGTCACGTAGTACTAGGGGGAATACACTTGAGTATAGTATGGGCCAATACTCAATCCCAATACTAACAATCACTTGTGCACTTCGAAGCAAAACCGACTCTCCTCTATGTTTAGGCCATTCCTAGCTTCCCATCCTTACTACGATCCCCCTCGTATCTGGCTCACAGACACCCGTTGCCTCGTTAACGTCATACGGTTGGATACTGGATCCAGGTTACGAATCCGTATCCTGGATATGGATCCTGGGTTATGGATCCGTACCCATGGTTACGGATCCGAATCCATCGGAATCCCTGCCCACACCCGTGGTTCCCGATCCATATGCATGTCCCACAGCTGACCCTGTGCTGGACCTCTGGCTGTCTTGTCTGCATGGCTAGTCACGATAGTCAACTGCCGGATCCATTCCCATCCGATCCGCATCGCGTAATACCACAATCGCCCCTGGGACAGGGACGATGTTGATCAACGACATCGCCGCGTACCACCGTTAACAATCTCTGACATCCCCACTGCTGGCATTCTCCCCTCCTTCTCCGTTCATTTCCGTGACAAGCTGTTCTTGCTCCAAGCTCCATGGCGACTACCGGCAACCTGTCCCTTTAGACAACAACACCTCTCGTCCTGCTGGATCTGGGTCCTCGTCTGATCGACCTTCTTCAAACCAAGCAGTATTCAGTGGCCAAGGTCGGGCACCGGGTGCCCCTCCGCCGTGCGCTCACTGCGACCATGCGCCGTCCGATCCCTCTATTGCCCAAACTCCGTTTGTGGTGGATCTGGATCCGGTACGTGCTGCTGCGTTGTCGCTCCAGGATATGGTTGGGTCCTATGACTCCCTCCTCGATGGTTTCCAATGCGCCATACGCGATCTCACGGCTGCGCGGCGTCACAACGAAGAGCTTCATGGGCTGCTTCAGCCTCGCTGGGACCGAATGCAAGGGTTCGTGGACTTCGTACAACATCGCTATGATGTATCCCAAGGTCGTCTTCGCCAGGCGGTCCAGCGTGAATCCGAGGCGGTGCAACTTGTCGATCGGCAACGCGACGAACCACAACAACTGGATACACTCCGCGTGCGGTATACCGAGCTGGAAACTATGACGACGGACGCGTACATCCGGCTCCAGACTTACGCAGCCGAGCTGGAGCGCCATATCACTGTCGGTACAAGTCCCACTGAGGCCGTGGTCCACGGAGTGGCTGGGGAGCTGCTCAATGCCCGCCATGAAATCGAGCGGGTCATGTTTCAAGCCAACAAGCTAGCGAACGACATTCAAACCGCGGAAGGGCGGTATTCGGAAGCCGAAGAAGCTTGTGATCAAGCTCGGGCGGTGCGCGACTTTTATGAGGCACAAACCTTTTGAAGCAACAGATCCAGATCGAGCACTTGGAGCGTACACTCGCCCGGCTTCGTGAAGAATTGTAGCAGAGTCACGATGAGGCGAGCTCCGTCCGTTCTGGTGAGACTGTGGATGGCTTGCGCCTCAAAATCCACACTCGTAGCGAGCCCATCGGAGAGCTGGAGAAGGATCTGACGAGGGTACGAAGCTGTCGGGACTCTATTCGCCAAGAGCAGGATCGTGCCGTTCAGCGGCATAAAGAAGCCGAGACGGCTGCAGCAGCCGATCTAGGTCGGGCCACCGGGTTAGAGCGCGATTGTGCTCGAGCTGCCGACACCCTCCTTAGCCTTCAAGACGCGCATATGGATCTGCGGAAGAAGTACGACCAAACCGTACGAATTCGTGATAGCTTCAAGTCGAAGTACGTAAGCATGTAAGGATCATGATGATGCCTACCGTGCTGTTGAGCAGAAGCTACATCAGGCCCAAACCAAGGTGGCGGATCTGGAACATGATTACCAGAGTACCCAAGAAGCGGCACAAGATGAGATCCGCCGCCTGGTCGAAGAACGTGATACTGCGACCCAAGACCGAGAAGATGCTCTCAAAGCTCGCGACAGTGCTGCGGCTAGTTCGCATGACGGGTGTAAGGCGGTCCAGCGCGATTATCTCAACAAGATCGCCGATATTCAAAACGCCTACATCCACATGCGCGGGGGGTTCGAGGACTTGGTGGCCGAGCAAGATTCTCTGGTGTTCGAACACCAGGGCTTGCAGACGGGGTACGAGGTTGTTGTGGGCGAGAGAGACTCAGCTCTGGATCGCCTGGCCACCATCGCGTCCACAGTTCTCCCGGGTTTCGCCCCAGTCTCTTTGAAGCGAACTCGGGATGGATCAGCGGGATCCGATCCGAGGGGATTTGATCCAACCGGATACGATCGCCCCAGTAAGAAGTCGCGATCCACGCCGTGATCCACGGATCCCACTGCACAAGAAAAGGGGACTTCTCCCACTTCGCCCATTGATCGTCTAGCTATCTCCACCTGGGTGGATGATGGTGAGGAAGACGACGACTACGAGTTTTCAGACGCTGGGACGGATCCCAGCGACTCTGACGATCCAGAGGTGGCCGTCGATGTTCTCGAAGATCAGGATCCTCTGCGGATCCGCCCGTTGGGGACGAACATCCGGAGGCCCCGGACTCATTCGACGGTGCTGACGATGGGAACTCCCCAGACACTTCTGATGGCGAAGCTGATGCAAGCACCCCGCCAGACTCAGGCAGTCATTCTGTCCCCGTCGAAGACTCGGATATTACATTCGACGACGAGGAGATGCGTATGGCACAAGCGCGTTCTCGATCAGACGCTCGCCGACGTCGCCAGTTCAGTGTCGATGGATCGACCACGGACCCAATCGTAATTGGATCCGGGTCCCCCGATCCCGATGAGGAGCAGGGTCCCCAAGGCGAAATAGATCCAACCCTGGCTGAGCATCTTTCTACGGGTAGTGATGCTTTGCTTCAGCTATACGGCCCCGAAGCTGATTTCATTCCGGGGCTGCGTGAACCTCGCGCCCTCCCCCCCCGAATCTCATCCCTTGGGATCCGATACATGGAAGCTTTTCACTGGCAACCGTAACTCCGTGGGCGATCTTGGACAGCAAGATCCTGACTCCTGGATGGATGTTTCCAGCACGTGTTCGCCGATCCAAGCCTGCCCCCAAGTTTGTCCCCAGTCTGCTGACGAGGGCAAACGTGAAAGCGCTTTACTCCCTACGTCCGTGGGAGGTTCTTCACAGATCGGATCTGGTGCCTCTTACCTTTGGCCAGGTAATGTCGACAGGAATTCGTGAGATCTTGAGTCTCTATGACGCTTGGGAAGATGACCACCGGCAGGCTCTGTGGGAAGCGACTCACGCTTTCCTGATCACGAAGGCCATGAAGCAAACGGATTCTTGGTGGACGACGTTCTATAGGTCGCGCAAGAATCGTGGATCTCACGCTCGAGAGAAGTTCCGCGTCTTCGAAGAGCGGGTAATTGCTTTGGCAGGCCGGACTGGATGTTGTGATTTGGATCTTCTGCTGGATTCGCGCTTCATGCGCTTCCCACAGCAGACGGATGATACTACGTGGTACCCTGGGCGTGAAGCAATCGCGACTGGACATGCCCCCCGGTCGACCTTCATGCAGCTTTGGTTGACTGCGATAAATCTGGTGCTTATCGTAACCACTTCCGATCCGTTCGTAACGCCCACCCGTCGTACCAAGTCGAGCGCTTACGCATGAAGTTCGCTCCCGGCATGACTCAAGTCGTACTTTAAATGATCCGGTCCAGTGCGATGACTTCTTCAAATTCTGCCTTGGCGTAGTTCTTCTTCGTAACCTCTTGAATCCCTCTTATCCACCGTAATTCAGTTTTTTCTCATGTCATCATTCGCCTTCGGATCCAATATTAGGACCCAATCCACGGATCCCATCCAATTTGTGGGTTAGATCTCGGATTCGATTCGGTCTGATCTACCCACAATCTCCTTCGGTTGCTGGTTATTCACGCACAAACCTCCTTCTCGATTAGACATGTGGCCTCCCCACACATCTTTCTCCAATATATCCAGACCCAGCGGCCAACTCGCTGGGAGGGGATCCGCCTCCTTCTAGTCGTGCAGCCTCCCTGCAGACTATCTCCAGCTCCTCCCAACCCGGCAACGAATTTGCCCAGTCGGGATCCACCTCCACCTTAAGTATTCGGCCTTCCCGCATGTCTTCTACCAACGTCTTTGCACTGATGACCATCCCACCAGTACGGATCCACCACCACTCTACGCCTCATCGTGCGATTGCATCGCTTGAAAACGGTTCCTCTTGGATCGGTCTCTCAGGAACTCCGCCATCAGGGCACCACAGTTCAGATCCACTTCGTCAACCCAGGTGGGCTGATCATATCCGACCCATTTCACCTGGAACTCCCGCAGAGTCCGTCCATATCGGATCTTACGACCTGAACGCATATCCAGGATCCTCTCGACCTCATATTCATCATCGTCAAGTTCGCGATCCCAGCTGTCTTCAGGCAACAGGGTCTCGTCGAAATCCAGGTGATTCGACTCATCGACAGTCAGATCCTCCGTGGGGCGATCCGGGAAAGTCTTCACCGGCTTCAGCTTCGACTCGTGCACCACCGGGAAGAGATGGTAGTCCGTCCCCTTGGTTTCCGGCCGAGCGGCGTAATCTCCCACTAGCTCTGACACGCGGAAAGGGCCATGCCATTGATGCGCCAACTTCTTTGCTTAGCCTACCTTCACCCGATCAAGGAATAACCACACCTGGGATCCTGCCGCAATTGGGTGAGGATCCACTCCTTCATTGTGCTGTTCTGCTCTATCTGCGATCGCCTTCTTCAGACGGGCGTTCACCTCGGATCTGCCTTGCTGATAGTGGCGTTGGATCTTGTACCTCCATCGGCGAGGATTCGCATCTCGGTGTCCAGTGTTGCCCGCTTGAAGTGGTGCCTCTAACGTGGTCTTGGGATCCCATCCACGCCGTAGATAGCAAGTTGTATCCCCTCAGATCCGGTCATATGCCGTGTTCAATGTATGAGGCAGACGCTCTACATACTCGTCCCAGTCATGTTTGCCCTCGTCTTGGACGTACATCTTGACCGCCCGTGTGACTGTTTGAACCATTCGCTCGGCCTTGCCGTTGGCTTGAGGCCTGTAGGCCACTGTAGCCTTCTGCTTCTGACCAAGGATCCGATTGAACGCTCGGTAGACGTCAGCCATCAAGGCAGGCTCACGATCATGGCGGATCACTTCCCAGGCACCGAAAGATCTGAACACACTCTCCTCGTATGCCTCCTCAATCGACTGCGCGGTTCTCGAGTTGTTAGCTTTAGTGACCACGTAGCCTGTGAATAAATCCACCCATATCAACAGTTCTGTGTTCCCTTTCTTCGACTTTGGCAAGGATGATATGTGATCCATGGCTATGATCTGGAAAGGGTGTTTCCCCTGCATGTTGCCGGGCGAACCGCCACGGATGGTGGGTCGCCCTTTGCCAGTCTCTCAGTCTACGCACTCGCCGACCAGCTTCTGCACCGATCTAAAGAGACCACGCCAGTAGAAATGATTCCAGATCCTGCGGTAAGTCCTGTTGATCCCTTGATGCCCCCTTCCAAACTGACGTCGTAATGATGCGTGACATCGTCCTGCAGCGTTTCGGGCACCACCAATCAGAGCAGCCCGTCTATTTCCGCTTCTGTCTTGTCTGATGGAGCACAATAGTACAGCAGATCCTTGTCTTCCGTCTCAAAATGGGCGGCGATGTTGCCAGCGGTCTTGACTTCTTTTCGGGTATGATCCTCTACCTCTCCTCGCAAATACTTCTTGAGGTTGGCGATTCAGACTTCTTCGTCCTACGCCTGGCGGATCCTATCCACACGTAGCTGTTGCACCACTTCTGAGTCTAGCATGGTTGGCTTCTGGACCCTTTTCTTAGAGCGCCTAGTCACCGCGTTGATCTGAGCTGTAGTTGCGTATGAAACAGGGATCAGGATCTCGTCCAGCCTATTCAAGGTGATCAGATCTTCCAGATCCGATTGGCCCTTCACTCGGACTCCGCTTTCTCGCTGCAGGACTGCACTGGCCAGACCGTCGGCGCTTGCGTTCCATTCCCGCTTGACCTGCACAAGATCGTGCACTGGCCACTCGCGGAGGCGACTTTGCGCCTTCTGGGGCAATACCGTCAGGCTTGGCGCCTTGCAGTCTATTTCACCTCGCATCTGGCGGATCACCAGGTTGGATTCACCACAAATGACGATCCGCCCCTTCAAGGAGGTCGAAGCATAACAACAAACCACTGTACTCTTCCTCATTGACCGTCAGATGGTCAGCGTAGCGTGAGACGCCTTTGACCACCGTCCACTCGGGTAACTTCCAGATCACTGCACTACAGACTCCTCCACCCCTCTTCACACGGGCGGATCCGTCGAAGCTCGCTACAAGCCGTTTTTCGTCGGCACGGACCGTAGGCACTGGAGCCGTGATTGCTCTCCTAGGTTCCTTCCTTGGCACAATAGCAGCCAGGGCTTGATCTACTTCGGATCACGGCGTAATACTGGCGGCCAACGCCCCTAGGATCTCGTCTTCGCCTTTAGAACACCTCGTCACTTCAATCGACCAAGGTGACAGTAGGGCAGCCCATTGGCTGAGTTGCCCTTCCAATCCGGCCGACTTGAACAACGAAGCTAACGTCGAATGGCGCGTCAGTACCTTGATCGCTTTGCCAATCGACATAGAGTATCCCAGATCCAACATACGTAGCAACGCTAGCACTTCTTTCTCCACGACACCGTAATTCAGCTCATTTTGCTTCAACGTTCGACTAGTGAACATCACCGGCATGTAAGTGCCGTCGTGATCCTGCATAAAAGAAGCTGATATATCCCACTCGTTTGCATAAACAAACACCTCCGGTTGCTTACTTGGATCAAAGTGTTGGAGGATCGGCGTAGTCGCGATATTGGCTTTCAGCGTTGCGAAAGCTTCTTCTGCGCGGATCCTCTTGGGTCCGATCCCCATTTCTTCAGGATCTGTCGACTCCCGGTCCGAACCCTTAGAATCGTCTGGACCTGCTGCCCCTGCGCACTGTCTCGGGCCCGGATCCGATGGATCCTTGGCTGCCTCCAGCGTATGTTGTTTCCCGCAACCTTGGATCCGACCACTGTCCCTTGTTTCTGCAAAGTCCACCTCTCTTAACTCATACAGCACCGACGCATATATCGCCATGTCTTCAACAAACCGACTGTAGTAATTCAGACTGCCGAGGAATGGTTGCATCGCTCGAAGTGACTTTGAGAAGGGGAGGTGCGTCAACACCTTAAGATTCTTCGGGTGTGCCTCCAGTCCTTCATCCGAGACTCTGTGTCCAAGGTAGTCGACCTTGCGCAAACCCCAAAAGCTTTTCTCCACACTTATCGACAAATTCCATTTGTTGCAGGCCTCCAACAGTAGCGTCACACGTTCACACAGGTGATCCCAGGATCCCGCGGCTACGAAGATGTCGTCGATGTAGGATCGACGTCCAAGCACGGACGGTTGTCCCCGATCTTCGGGATGGCCGACTTGGAACATATCCATCTCGGATCGATGACCCGTGGTTGGAGGGGTCCGTAAGAATCCATACAGTGCGTTATCCAACAGCCGCTGGTAGATCTGTGGTGCGTTCTTAAGACCGAAGGGCATACGATTCTTCTCAAAATAGTCCGAAGGGAGTGATGAACGCAAAGATCGCGCGGGCGCGATCCGTCATTGACACCACCCACAAACCACTGGCCATATCCAGAGAGCATTACCATAGCACTGCGTCCAAGCCTTCGAGAAGATCGTTGATCAAAGGCATGGGATAAACCATCAACCTCGTCAGGTAGTTGACTAACCCGTAATTAATACACACTCGTATGTCAACACCATTCTTCTTGATAATTGCCACAATCGGTGAAGCCCATGGCGATGTAGAGACCTGGATACTCCTGGCCGAAATGAGGCCTTTAATCAGATCCGAGGACTTCTCACGATACTGCGGGGCCACCTTGCGCACGCGTTGCGCGATCGGCTTCGCGTCGCCGACGTCGATGTCACACACAGCACCAACAGTAGCCGTGGGTAAGGCATTGCCCTTCCCGATGAGCAAGTGTCGCTGATCCCAAATGATGTCAACCAACCGCTGGATCTCTTCTGGTGGGTTCGCCTCAGGATCTCCGACGTGGAGATCCTGGATCCGGACTTCGGCCGTAGTGGCGGTCACTTCTGGGAGCACAGCCAAATCACCGTCGTAGTCTTCGGCGTGCACTGCACCTCCATCGTGGTGACAAGTCTCTTTGCTTGGATCTGGGGCCGGATCTTGACTCTTAAAAGGGGTCTTGAACCTTTCAGGCTCAGGATCCGACACTTGCACGTCCGGATTCGAGGTGGACCCAGTCTTACAGTCTTCGTCGTGCGGTCGCATATCAGGATCCAATCTTATACGCAACGTGTCGTGGCTTCCTGAGTTCGGATTCGGCACTTCCATGCTGGGATCCGCAGTGGATCCGGCGCCATGTTCTTCAAGATCCTTCAACCTCGGATCCGGCACTGGGATGACGAATCTCGTGACGGATCCAACACCTCAGCCTTCATGACGCTTCACTGGATTGAAACTAATCACAGCAGCGGGATCCGCCTTCGGACCGTATCCAGGATACGGATCTCTAGCTTGATCTTCACCGGATCCTCCATCATCGACCGACATCGGATCCAGCACGGCAGATCCAGCTCCATAGTCTTTGAAGGATTCCACGTGATCGATAGCATCAGCTTGTTTACCATGATGAGCTACCTCAGAGTCTGGCTCTGTGGCTCGATCGCATCTTGATACCTGGAAGTCCTTCGATAGCGGATCCAGCGCCGGCATAGGGGCGTATTCGACTTCCGCCACTTCCACAGACTCCACATCCTTCAAAACACTTGCGGCAGCTGGGGCTTCTTCCAGGGTTCCTCGGGAAACAAGTTGATCCGTCGCTCGAGTTGCCGGGGTGGCTGGAGACGTCCTTGAGTCCAGCATCACTTCGATCCTGTTATCGCCTGCGGCGGATCCGCATCCGTCGGCACCAGCACGCGTGTCACAGGATCCATGTATATTAACACCTTCGCCACCGTCAGGTACATCCGTTGTGCCTTGCGCGGTTGTCAGGTGTGTACTTGAGTCCTCCGGTGAGGCAGCGGCCTTCCTGCGCCTTGGCACTTCGCTTCCACCGTATTTCACTGCTGGAAGTGTCGGTGTAAGATCCCGCCTAAGTTCGGTATCAGTTTCTGGAATCAGTCCAGAATCAGGCGACGGTTCACACAAATGCCTTCGAGCGCATGAGACAGCCGTAAGGCGAGCCCTCAACGGCGGTGTATATATCTCAGTTCCCAGAAGTCGGGCGGTGTTGTGTCGCACGCCATCAGACGCCCCATGATCTGGGCTACAAGGGACATCTGGTCCGTGCGGCCCTGCAGCCTTCCCGTCTTCGAGGTACGCCATGACGCTCGTGCTAATTGACTGCCGTGCATCGTTGGCGTGCATTTCTTGCGAACGTGCAAACAGATCCGTCCACTCTATGCACATAGACAGGTTCAACAGATGTCCCATCTCTCTTGTCGCATTGCGTGTTGCCACTTGGTCCGCCCTTACTATACACATAGCCTGGGAAGTGCTGCCGATCCTCAACTCTACCATTTTGATTCGTATCCACGGCAGATCTTGGGGTGGATCCTTGTACTAGGGGATCCACAGTAAACTTCGACACTGCTGCGGTTGTTGTTCGCTCCAAGATCCTCTCGGGAGTTCGGTATTCCGGCCGATCCACGGCGGGATCAAGCATCCAAGGTTCTGGCGGGGGCACAGTTGGGGGCGTTTCAGTGGTGGCACTGAGTACGGGGTTTTGCCACTCCGCGTACCGCCTGGATCCAAGGGAGACGAAGCCTGGTTGGCGAGGGACATGATCCCCTGTCAACCACATGCCGATCCGCTCGTCCCGCTGCAGGATCACACTCGTCTCACCAATGTTGGTAAGTTGTATGTAGCGGATCCGGCCTGGGCCCTGCGTTAGCGTTGGCACCCACTACTTGCCTCTCATTACCATCACTTCTCTTGATCCGACAGGTGCAGACGCAGTGGAAGCTCGAAAGATTCACCCACGTCAATCTTGACGTGTTGGACGATCAATAGAGGGCGATCGCGATCGCTGAAGAGCTATCGCTGCCCCTGAAGCGGGATCTTGATCTCGTCGGGCAAGCACATGGATCCGTCACCGAGATCTAACCGGATCCGGGCTGGGGCCATGTAATCCATGCCGAGGAAGGCTTGGTAGTCGGGCGGCAGATCGTCACGGACCCACACATCAAGGAAGTACACCAAGGATCCAGCCAGGATAAGCTTGATCCGCGCTCCCCCCCGTCACAACGTACAACTTCTCACCAATACCGATGCATTCTTGATTCTGACTTGTGTCTATGTAGGATCCAACCTTACGAGCAAAAGTGGCGTCAATAATCGACACCTCGGATCCAGAGTCAAGCATCACCACGGACTTGGCATTGTTGATCTTGCAGCTAGTCTTCGCCTGTTTGAAGTGTTTGCCGGGCACGTGGTTCTTCCGGTATCCTCGTGATTCCCCGGGCATCAGATCCAAGATCATAGCGACCTCGGATCGTTGATAGTCGTTTGCAGGGCGGAGGCTTCCAACCATGGCTGTACGCACATCTTGTAAACTACGTGTATTACCGAATATACCTGCTTGCTTGGCGCTGACGTGATTCCTCGATTGTCTTGCCACAAATGCATATGTGCATGCTGTAGAACGCTCGGCTCGTACCGGATTCAAACCCGGCAAATGGCTTAGTTTAACATCTTTTCGGCTGCTTCAGGTAAGAGCCCTGGATGCTTTTTGGGATTAAACCATTGACGGGTCAAGTTGTAGAACTCCTCCATCTGACACTTGCCGTGATCGTGTAGCTGTCCCCAGCCGCGGCACACGAAGAAGAAGCGATCTGACGGGTGACCTTTCTTGCCGCACTTTTGGCAGGTCAAACGTTTCCAGCACCTAAGGTCCGAATGCTTCCGGGATCCACAATGGGAACAACATTGATCTTCTTACGCGAAGCGGGATCCGTGATCCTAATGACTGGGAGCCACGTAGCGTTGTCCTTGTTGGTCAGGATTCAAAGGTTGGGGCGGATCCTGGTGGTGAACCGCTAGAGTCTGTTCGCTAACTGCGCCGGCGAACGCGCGGCGCAGTCCACCTTCGGATCCGGATACTGGTTCGGCCGAGTCCGAATCAGACCCCGAGTCTGAGACTTGGACCTGCACGACATGTACAGCCGCCGGCTTGGTCGGAGTCGGTGTCTTCGTGCGGTATTTGTTGGATCCGATCGACTTCTTCTGGCGGGACTTCCGCACGATCGCGCGGACGCAGTACCTCTTCCAGTTGATCCGCATCCTCCAGGCGCAACAACGTCAGCTGATCAGCTAGCTCCAGAGCGCCCATGGTTTCCACGAAGTGCTCGACATGTTCGCGGCGTGCTTTGGCATCCCCGTCCTTGACCTTGACTCTGGCGCGCATTCCCGCCACATTTAGGCGGTGAAGGTACTCCAGTGGTGTCTCGTCCGAACGTTTGCGCGCGTGGTAATACGGCCACGCTATCGAAACACCTTGCCCAAAGTATTGCGACTTGAAGGCTAGAAGAAGATCCCTCCATCGTGCTCATGTCGTCCGACCCAGCTGTCTGAACCGGTTCCTGGTTGGTCCCGTCAGCAGATCCGCAAAGGTTATGCACTTTTCTTCATCCGAACACTGGTCTCTCGTGAACGCTGACTTGACTTTGGTAATCCATACTCTGGCTTTCTCCTTATCGTTGTATTTACTAGAGAATTCATTCAGTGCTGAGTTTGTAGAGATCCGCACACGTTGGATCAGCGCGGATCCGGCCGCGGTCGCCGAGGCGGTCACCGTTGCCGTACGCCGAGGTGCTGTCGCGCCCATATCATCAGGATCGTATTCCCAGTGCTCAGATCGGAGGTCTCCTGACCCGACCGATTCGATCTCCACGTCATGCGCCCCATGGTTGGCAGGTGACGTCTTTGTCGTCCGTGGCTCGGCAACCATCTGACGTTCCCGCAGGAATCGCCCCATGGCTTCCTGGAAGTAGGTTTCCAGGCGGCCAGTCGACTCGTGAAGCGGATCCGTTTGAAGCCCAGGCCCCGCTAGCTGTGCAGAAGACACTGCCGTTGGATCTACTGTGGATCCATTCAGGGCAGGCGTGGACCGGGCCTACAGCATTGCAGCACCCGAGGGACCAAGGGACATACGCTTTGGTTCGGCTGAACCGTCGGATCCAGCTTCGGACGTCGCGGAGGCGTACTGTGAAGATCCAGTCTGGTACTTGGGGGAGTGGATCTGCTCGGCCTGGACTGCCAAATTCTTCGAGGGCGATCGCTCACCGACGAGTGGCTTCAGTCGATCGAAGAGGGACGTCGCCGAGATCCGGATCATATCGGCGTCCAGACTGAAGGGTTTGTCAGCGTCGAACGCCCCAGCCATGAGGTCGGCCTCTTCCAGCAGCCGGAGTAGATCCGTCACCGCGTCGAGTTTGTTCGTCACTGTCGCGGGAGCAAGTACCGGTCCCGTGAGGGATCCATGAAGCTCGGACTTAATGGCCTTCGTCGCAGGGTCTTCCTCGAAGAAGTCATGCAGCTCTGTGCGCTTGTACGCAGTCTCAATTTTGAATCGAGTCCATGTGGACTTCAAAACAGCACGAACCTCGTCATCGGATCCAGGTGCCTTGAGTTTCTTCCGCGTGCCCTTTCTTCTTCTTAGACTTGGCACCTGAGGCCGGTGGGAAAGTGATTGATGAAGGTCGTTTGGCTTTCACAATTAGATCTTCTTCCGGCGGATTACAACTCGCGTTATGATCCGCGGGGGTCTCTGAAGAGACCTGGGGAGGATGGCGAGGTTTCTCTTCTAAATCCGAATTCCGATCTTCCCCTCTTCCATCGACAGATTTACTCCCAGCACTCTGTCGCATTGTGGATCTTTCATTCAGCGCCGCCGTCGGTGATCCAACTTCCGTCGGCGCTTCTTCTCCCGATTCTTGGCTCACATGCGTTTCTTCACGGGACACACGGTGATATTAGGTGTCACCCAAAGATCCGGGCACGCGCACCATTGTGGTGTAGCAGGACCCGAAATTTATTCGGGCCCCAAGCTGGTACACACTTCGCCACAGACGCCGACCGCGGGGAGGGAGTACTCCGATAACCACGGGGGGGGGTCGCTGGGGTCTCACCTTGTGTACCCTGTCGGCGGGAGGATTCGCACACGAGAAGCGCAGTGATGTGAGGCTTGAATCTCCTTGGCGGGGACTCGGGGATGTCGGATCTGCGCGGGTATTCCAGCACAACAGTTCCGGGTACGTGAATCTTGGACTCTTGGTCGAAGGTCCGGTGGATCCGATGTGGATCCGGAGTAGTAGCC